CCTCAGAACAATGCTCGGAAGAGTTGGGGGTTCATGCTTGTAAAATGAGAACCACAAGCTAACACAGAATGATCATTAATTCTTCAAACCAGGATTTATTGGCCTAGCACCACACACAGGCTCTTCCCACTGACAGGATTTTGGAAATATGTTTGATGTGGTTTTGGAATCCTGTAAGGAAAGGGCTAGTAAATGTTCTTTGCGTTCTGTTCCTGGCAGGCCTCGTCACAGAAGGGGACCCAGCCAGGTGTCTCCCAATTTCAAAGCAAGGAGCACAACTTCTTGTACATACAGTCCGAGGTCATGTTTTCCATCTTTCCAGATGTAGGGCTGCAGGGCGACTGTGCAAATGGGTCTTGATTTAGCAGCAACTGCGCAAAGAACATGGATCCAAGTAGCTTACAATTGGAGACTGAATCTAGTGATGGTAGAGCAGCTGGCCTTCTGTAAAGCAGGGTTGAGTTTAAGCAATTCCAATTAGAGTGATTTATTCCAGTGTATGGAACAAGAATGGGGGGAACCCATGCAAGAATGGGGGGAACCCATGCAGTCCCATATCCAAATTCCTTGGGTGAGGGGAAAAGAACCCTCTCCCATTCCATGGAATGCCTCCTTGCAGACTGACACTCAAACTCATTTTTCTTCCCACCACAAGTCTGGATGGGGAGGGAACTTCCTTGGATGGGAAAGAAACATATTACTGGGTCTGCCAAGTAGGTTTCTTCATATGCTTGTTTGCAGAGAGGTACAGGAAGACGTGGGTGGCGTTGTGGGTTAAACCACAGAGCCTAGGACTTGCTGATCAGAAGGTCGGCGGTTCGAATCCCCGCAACCGGGTGAGCTCCCGTTGCTTGGTCCCTGCTCCTGCCCACCTAGCAGTTCGAAAGCATGTCAAAGTGCAAGTAGATAAATAGGTACCGCTCCGGCGGGAAGGTAAACGGCATTTCCATGCGCTGCTCTGGTTTGCCAGAAGCAGCTTAGTCATGCTGGCCACATGACCCAGAAGCTGTACGCCGGCTCCCTTGGCCAATAAAGCGAGATGAGCACCGCAACCCCAGAGTCGGCTACGACTGGACCTAATGGTCAGGGGTCCCTTTACCTTTACCTTACAGGAAGACAGCACAGTGAAATAGCTCCTCCACAGCAGTCCGTAAGCATGCCCAAATTATCAGACATCCCCAAACCATATCGACCTCAGAGGACTATTTTGTAAAGATGGTCAACAAATAAGCTGAGGAAGGAAAGAGAGTTCAGCTCTCTTTCTTTAGAACAGATATGTACATTCTTTGAAAATTATGAATAATAAAAAATGTGTAGCTTTAAATGGAAATGGGTTTTTTTAAAAAAAAATAGGCAATACTTTCTTCAGCACCCTTTACAGAGCTAAGGTCATTTTATTACTTTAGGAACATAAAATGCATTTATCTATAATTCTGTTATAGAATAAAATACAATTTATTTAGACGCTGATTGCAAATTTAATTGGCGTTCCTTTTAATTTTGGTTACGAATGGAGCTACCCTAGCTTCACTTAGTTTTTGCCTGTTTAAGAGAAGCAGGCAAAAGAAGAAGCTGAAAACAGAAGAAACCATCAACATTACAGTAAAAAAATAAAGTTATTGTGTATTGCTGCCATCACATCTTATTTGACCAAGGGGACAAAAATGAAGGTACAGTTTAAAGGAGCATTAAAAAAAACAACCCACACATACATTCTTTCCTTCCTTCCTCCCTTCCTTCCTCTGATCTTCCTGCAAATTGCTCAGGATTGCACATGGTTACCTTTTATCCTCACAACAACACTGTGAAGCAGGTTAGGTGAGAACATGTGATCAGCCAGTGACAGGATTTGAAACCAGTTGGGACCATCCTGTGTTTGGGCTCCCCTTCCTTGGTGGATGACCCTGGCTATTTGAAAGGGGAACTGCCCTCAGAGCAGATCCCAGAAACTCCTTACCTACTGGAAATGCTTTTGCAAGAAGAGCTATGCAGCCAGTAATCCTCTGGCCTGAGAACAATGCACTGGTCTCCTTGGATCTGGAGGAGTCCATTTCAGAAGCCCCAGTGCAACTGAAGTCTCACCTTCTCTGTCAGACGTCAGTCTGCCGAAGAAGGCTGGGGCCCTTTAAATTAAGAGGAACCTTTCAGGAAGGCACAGGTAGCTGCTGAGACACAGTCCCTATATAAGGCTCATTCTGAATGTAAGCTGCTGCTGAAGAGACATGTCTCCACCAAGCAGTCAGCGTGAGCCCTGCCTGGAGCTGTCCAGGGTACAGGGACCTCTGCTGAGGTCTCCCTGGCTGCAATCTTCTAGCCATTGATGCCATACACTGGGAGATATGGAAAATAGGAAGACAGTAGAAATCAGAGCAACGATGAGGCTATAAAAATCCACAGCAGTTTTGATTAAGCGAGGAGGAGAAACATTCACATTTTGCAGCTCAGCCAATGAAGTAATAAACAACTGACAGCAAAGGCTAGACAACTTCAAGGGTTTTGCTTTGCCTCATCTTAAGCTGGCACACATGTGACACTGCTAAATGATTATGCCACATGACTGAAAGGCCCTGGAACATATCCAGCGCCGCTGAGATTAAATAAGAGAGTCACAGTGGCCCAATGGACAGAGAAGGGGTTTTGCATGCAGACGATCCGCTTTCAAGACTTATGATGGGGTCAGCCAAAGATTTTGCATCTATAAAACCTTTGCTCTTGCAGCTCCCAGCAACTGGTACTCAGAGCTATATGAGCTCTGCCTGTGGAGGCAGAACGGAGCCATTGTGGCTGATAGCCATCAATAACCTTAGCCTTCATGGATTTGTCCAATCCTCTTTTAAAGTCTTTAAGGCTGGTGGCCATCGTGGCATCAAATCCCATATTCCAGATATGTGTTTTGTGAAGAAATAGCTGAACCTTCCAACGTTCACCTTCCTTGGATGCATGTGACTTTTCCCATACCGTGCATATTCTTACATGCCTTTATCAGCCCTCAGTCATTTACTTGCCTTCCCCCCCCCGCCCTTGTAATGAAAAAGCCCCAAATAGTCTAAGCTCAGCTCGAGAGCTCCAGCCCCTTGATCGTTTTGGCTGCCCTTTTCTGAACCTTGTCCAGCTTTGCAATAGCCTGCTTGATCTTTAAGCAATAATGGCTTATTTTTAGGTGGGTGACCCTCGCCCTCAGCTATCAACATTGCTCGATAGTCCGGCACGCGCCAGCAAGACGCGTATGCAGGATTAATTCTTTAAAAAAAATGAAAGACCTCACTTCGCATCAGCCACAAATGTGTGCCAGTCACTCACGCAGCCCTTTGTGCATCCATCAGCTTTTATTAATGCTCCTGTCTGTTGTTGACAGTTGTCCAAGATTCTTTGCTTGAAGCTATAATGATTTACAATCAGCCGCACACAAACATGGAAAAGTTCCAGACTTCAACATCCACGGGATGCCGGCACAACTCCAACCCCCACCTGTGTATTATATGAATCAATCACCGGGGCAGAGTGTAATAGTATCCCTTCGCACAGCCAAGTTATAATCTAGGCTAAGCCCTCTTTAAATAGATTCCCTTACTGTATACAGTGGTACTTCGGGTTACAAACACCTCGGGTTACAATCACTTCAGGTTACAAACTCCGCTAACCCAGAAGTAGTACCTTGAGTTACAAACTTTGCCCCAAGATGAGAACGGAAATCATGTGCTGAGGGCACAGCGGCAACGGGAGGCCCCATTAGCGAAAGCGCGCCTCAGGTTAAGAACAGTTTCGGGTTAAGAACGGACCTTCGGAACGAGTTAAGTTCGTAACCAGAGGTACCACTGTATAGCAATGGCTACAACTCTCCTCCCCATTCACACACCCCCACACCCCAAAAAACACCCCAATCATAGGTGCCTTGCTGCATACAACACTCAATCTCTTTACAAGGAAAAAATTGTACTTTACTGCCCCAAGGGAAAATCAACAATTGTGATTGCCATGCTGATCATGTTCATGCCTCAGGATGGGCTTCTTCTTCTTTGGCGATCACTCGTACCCGAGTAAAATTGTTTTCCATGAACACAGTCTTAACAGTTACAGATAGGTAACTAAGTTGGTCTTTAAGGTGCTACTGGAAGGAATTTTTTTTGTTTTGACAGTCTTAACAGTGAGTCCATAAGTGTCTGTGGAGGCCAATTCTGGACCCACACGTCCTTCCACAGTGGGGACATTGGTTTCTGGGCGGGAGTTGATCATGGTGTGGATTTGCCAAGCGTGCCTTCCTATTAGCACATTTCTCCCTTGCGTCCTGAGTTCGAGCGTCTTCAAAGCCCATGACACCTTTGGTAAAGGCTCTTTGCCAATTGGAGCTCTCACAGGCCAGTGTTTCCCAGCTGTCGGTGTTTATACTACATGTTTTTAGAGTCTTTAGAGAGTCTTTAAACCTCTTTTGTTGATCACCAGCATTAAGCTTTCCATTTTTAAGTTCAGAATAGAGTACTTGCTTTGGAAGATGATAATCAGACGTCTGAACAACATGACCAGTCCAATGAAGTTGATGTTGAAGAATCATTGCTTCAACACTTTGCTTCTTCAAGTACACTGGCATTAGTTCGCCTGTCTTCCCAAGTGACGTGTAAATTTTTTGGAGACACCGTTGATGGAATCTTTCGAGGAGTTGGAGATGGCATTTATAAGTGGTCCATGTTTCACAAGCATACAGTAAGGTAGGGATGGGCACCTGTAATGGGGCATGTGGTTTTACAATATGCCCTAAGAGTGTGTACTACCAGAAGCGGCATCGGGGCAATCCTAAAGAGGCAGTAGCAAATCCAGGTAGCGGTACTTCCCAAACTTGGGGCTCCAGCTGCTGATGGGACTACTACTCCCACCATTCCTAGCTAGCAGGCCCAGTGGTCCAGGACCTTCTGCACACAGAACAGGTGCATACCAGTGAGATATTGTCCTTCCCCAATGAGTTATGGTTCAACCTAGAGGACGGCACGGTGGCTTTGCATACTCACCAGGGTGACAATGGCACATTCAGCAGTCAGCTGAGCGGCGCTGAACAGCGTCCGCACAAAGCGGTAAATCTGCTTCTGCTCTGGGTCATGTTTGTCATAATCTGGCGGCACTTCGGATTTCTGCAGGAACAGCATTATTTAAAAGGTGAGCAAACTACAATCCATGGCTTTGAAGCAACTAACAGGGGTGGGTAGAATGCACCTCAAGAAGAAACAAATGAAAGAATGAGGCAGATGATATTTACCGTAAGGGGGTGGAGGTTTTCATCAAAAATATCTAGGAGCATCCTTCCATCTGTGTCCCTGAAAGAGAGAACAGGAAAAAAAGAAAAATACAAAATTGTTACGCCATGGAGGGCGAAAGAGGAGGAAGTGGGAAACTATTATTAAGGCAAAATGAAAGAACTCTATACACTGGGAATCACTTCTTTCTGCTCCAGTAATGTATATGAAAGAGCCACATGGTTGTGGACAATAATAAAGTTTCATCTCATGCAAATATTGCCCTATCACATTAAATTAATCAATTGCTTAATTTCCAGAATAGCCCATGTGTTGCCCTCCAGATGTTATTGGACTACAACTTCCATCAGCCCCAAGCAGCAGGGCCAATGGTCAAAGATGATGGGAACTGGAGTTCAACAACAATGGGAGGGCACCAAGTTGGGGAAGGCTGCTCTACAGAAACAACTACAAGCATTACAGAAACTTGTGCTTATAGTTTTGGTTGTAGAAGCACAAATTTAAATGCTGTTGACAGAGGGTTGTTTTACTATTCCCAACTGGTGTCCCATGGGCCACAGGAGGGGTCTGTGCAACCCACCCAGGGGGTCTGTGGCACCATTCACATAACAAAAACTACCATAAAGTTATCAAATTTTTCAAAAGCAGGAGGTCGATGGTTTAGCTTTTGAAAACACGGGGTCCGCCATACTTAGCTAACTGGGAGCCACTGCTTTGGACAATTAAAAAAAACCACACCTCAAACATAATGTGAAAGTCTTTCCCATTTATTTTATGTTTTAAGTTCTTGTGAAACTTCACACAATGCCTAATAGATGTGTAGAATTCACTGTCATTACATGCAAGGGTGACAAGTACTTTAGATGGATTTAAAAAGAATCAGGCAAATTCACAGAGGATCAGGCTACAAATCATGATGGCTAATGGCTATATTTACTGTGGCGCTGTGGGTAAAACCTCAGTGCCTAGGACTTGCCGATCGCATGGTCGGCGGTTCGAATCCCCGCGGCGGGGTGAGCTCCCGTCTGTCGGTCCCAGCTCCTGCCCACCTAGCAGTTCGAAAGCACCCCCAAGTGCAAGTAGATAAATAGGTACCGCTTTATAGCGGGAAGGTAAACGGCGTTTCCGTGTGCTGCGCTGGTGCTGGCTCGCCAGAGCAGCTTCGTCACGCTGGCCACGTGACCCGGAAGTGTCTCTGGACAGCGCTGGCCCCCGGCCTCTTAAGTGAGATGGGCGCACAACCCTAGAGTCGGACACGACTGGCCCGTACGGGCAGGGGTACCTTTACCTTTACCTTACTCTGTATGAGCTTTAATTGGATTTGTTTACAGACATCTCACAGACCACCTGAACAAAGCTGATGGTCCACCAGTGGCCCATGGACTACAGTTTGGGAAATCCTATTCTACAGATTGTGGAGGGAGAATCTGTGCTGAAATGCGGAGAAGAAGTGGAATTGCTCCAGTCTTAAGTCACTGATTGTTCCACAATAAAACTGTTGCAAAAGGCCTCTCTTAGTGGATGGGATTTGTTAGGTTGGTTTTTACATATATCCATGTTTTCAGCTTTTATTTTGATTTAGCTTTACGTTAGTTTTAATTTTTGTATTATATTGTAAGTCATTTTAAGATTCCATTTCATTAAAAAGTGACTGAGCAATAATAAAATAAATAAATAAATACTATTTGCAGGATCAGAGGCAGTTTGTTATGGAAAACCTATTGCTATGGAACAATGGGAGAGGGCTACTGTCTTCCTGCCCTGTTTGAGGGCTTCCCATGGGCATTAGCTGGCTGCCTGTAGGGTCAAAGAGGATGCTGGACTAGACAGGACCTTTGCTCTGAGCCAGCTCAGAGCCAAGCACAATATCCCGGAGATCCAGCAGAGGGCGCATGGAGAACGTCCTGTGTACTGACAACCACAATAAGATTCCCACAGCAATTTCCACTTGAAAAAAATTACTGTTTTTACTAATATGTTTCTGAGCACAATTCAAAGTGTTGGTGCTGACCTTTAAAGTCCTAAACAGCCTTGGTCCTGTATACCTGAAGGACCGTCTCCACCCCCATCATCTAGCCTGGAAACTGAGGTCCCGCTCCGAGGGCCTTCTGGCAGTTTCCTCACTGTGAGATGTGAGGTTACAGGGAACCAGGCAAAGAGCCTTCTCGGTAGTGGTGCCCTCCAGTAAAATGTCAAGGAAACAAACAACTATCTGACTTTTATAAGACATTCGAAGGCAGCCCTGTTTAGGGAAGTTTTTAATGTTTGGAGTTGTATTCTGTTTTTAGTGTTCTGTTGGGAGCCGCCCAGAGTGGCAGGGGAAGCCCAGCCAGGTGGGCAGGGTATAAATAATAAATTATTATAAATTATTACTGGTTAGATTGTAAAAGAACAAAACCACCAGCAGCAGCTGCAGCTCTTACCTGCCCCCAAGCTCATGCCCAACTCATTTCCAGAGTTCTGAAAACTATTTTTAGAGCACACCTAAGCTTGTGATAATCAGTATAGGAAGAGGGGGAAATAAGAGCAAGGGGAGAGAGAAATGGCAAAGGGAGCATAATCCCCAAACCTGACTTTGAGCCATCAACCCTAGTTAAGGGCCAGCTAATATTATGTCTGCAGAAACACCAAGAAATTAAAAGGGAATCTTTGGCAAGACTTCCAGTTTCTAGGAGATAGGATTTTAGTGGCTTTGCTGCCCCGCTACTTCAGGATGTGAGTATATTCTCCTTCCACCCTACACCTGCCCTGCATTCCTGCTCTCTGTCTAAGGAACTTGCTAAGCTGGTCTAAATTCTAAGGAAACTTAAAAGCCACCATCAGAGTTATGCAAGCTCAGCGGACAATGAACATTTGATGGAAGAAAGTTCAGACCTGGCCTTATTTTAAGAGCCGCATCCAATAGTGTTGTTACAGTGTTTGGAATCCCAGAGCCATATGGGAATGGCCAATTTACACGTTTTTTATTCTGTCATTGCTCTTCCAGGTGACAATCAAGTAGGGAAGGATTCCTATCACAGTTGCAGAGCAAAAGCTTCCAATAGTGTTGTTTTTGTTGTTGTCATCTTAAAAACATAAGACCAGCTTGTTGGATCAGGACAATGGCCCATCTAGTACAGGACCTGCCTGGGTTTTGCGATCTTTGAGGGAAACCGTTCTCTGAGTTCCATCACCCTTACAGGCAGGCTTGATGGGGATGTGAGAGAGGGCCTTTTCAGTGGCTGCTCCCAGGCTTTGGAACTCCCTCCCTAGAGAAGCTAGACTAGCTCCCTCCTTGCTGTCATTCCACTGGCTGGTGAAGACGGCTTTATTCAGACAGGCTTTGGGGAACTCACTGCTTTTAATGAAAGGGCTGGTGCCATGCCATTCTTGCAATTATTGGTATGGTTTTAATAGATGTTATAAATGCATATATGTTTTAATCCTATTAATGTTTAATTTTTAAAAAATTGATTTTCTCTTATGTTTTTAGCAGTTCTTATAATAATAATAATAATAAATTTTATTTATATCCCGCCCTCCCCAGCCCAAGCTGGGCTCAGGGCGGCTTATTTGTGTATGGGCAATCTATCCGGAAGATAAAATAGTTTTTCAAGGAGTTAATGATCTGACTCGGTTGCCCTCTTCCTGCCCTCTGTTCCTTCTTCCTCTCCTTGTCTCTTAAGTTCTTTGATGGCATGAGAGCAGCCTTTAGTGTCCTAATCTGTTGGAAGTAAGTGATAGAGCTAGGTACCTTCTTTGATGCTGGACATTGTTTGGAGAAAGTGAGGCATTGGGAGAGGGTGGCTAATGAATAATCTGCACGTAGCCAGTCGGGCAAACCACACAGGTTAGCTATCTATAAATCGGATGGTTGTGGGCAGAGTTTTAGAGAGAAGCTTGTGCATGGACTGGCAGTTGTGGGGCTTTGCAACTTGAGGCTACCTGGGGAGTCACTTCACCACGTCTCGAGGGCTTCCAAGTGGCAGATTGAGGTGCTTGCTTGGTATGTATATATTGCTTGCTGTTTAGAATAAAATCTTTAATCTTGTCACTCACTTGTGTTTTGCAGTACTTCTGAATCCCGTTTTAAAAGAACCACCTTACATTTGGCAAGACAATTTGTAAGCTGCCTAGAGTCCCATTGGGCGGAAAAGGCAGGGTATAAATAAAGATGATCCTGTTCTCACAGTGGCTGACCAGATATCTGTGGGACAAGCTGGACATGAGTGCAACACCACTCTGCCCACCTGTGATTACCATCAAGTGGTATTCAGAGGCCTAATGCCATTGTAGAGCATAGCCATTGTGGCAGGCCGCCACTGATTACCTTGCCTTCCGTAAATTTGCCTAATCCTCTTTATTATTTATTTAGATTTCTTGCCTGCCCTTTACCACAAGGTGCCAAGGCGAACTACAGCCATTTCAAAATACAATATTTAAAACAGTTTAAAACAAATTATAGTCAATTTGATGGGCCCTAGAAATATATATATCTCAAGTGTCAAAGGCCAGGGTAGAGGGTTCCGGGTGCAATCTCTTGTGTCTGCTGACAGGGCTAAGAAAGACCCCTGTCTGAAGCCCTGGAGAACTGTTGTTGCCGCTGAGGTAACATATGAAGTGGTCCTACACCATGTATTATTGCTTGCACACATTAACTATAGGCAATTAAACAGAGAGCGAGAGGAAACTAATGAATGGCGGGGCAGGGCAATAATTGGGTCTCCCAACATAAACTTACCTGTTTCTGATGTGGTAATATATTGCAAGAGCTACACTGTAAAAGAAAACAGAGTGAAAATACAGAGTTAGTGATCTGGGATACAAATTTAATGTTTTCTACAAAGTCACATTACTAAGCTTTGACAACCATTTTTAACCTTCCGAGAAGGCTCAGACAACCTGTAGGAACCGTTTCTTGCCAAGGGAGAGAGCAGGGATCAATAAACAAAGTGGTGGATGTTAACCTGCAGCACGCAGGGCTAGCTCCCATCAATCTGCACAGCACTAAATAAAGTGCTTCTTCAGATCTTTGAGAGAAGAGCATTTTAAAAGAAATTGATTCAAAAGAGGAGAGGGAATTGAAACCGCCAGCGGTGGCAGAGGTCTTCCATGTGCCGAGAGCAGCATCAGGCGGGTGGGGGGCAGGTCAACCTGCCTCGCAAGTAGTTCAAGTGGTAGCTTGGGAATGCAATACTTTTAGGGGCATCAGTGAAACTAGCACACCAGCAAATCTAGTGCAATTGGAGCGGTGCATCCCAATATCCTTTGCAGCGCCACAAGCAAAGTGTAGATACTTCGACTTGCAAAATATTTTGGATAGGCCATGGAGTTGCAATGGGGAGGAAGAAAAGTGGAATGGGAAAAAGGGGACAAACTGCCGAAACTGACAGGGATCCAGCACAGAAACTTACAGAGAGGTCAGATGCAATTGCAGCAAGGAGGACAATTTCTGAACTGAGTGAAGGAGGGAGAGAGAGAACAGAAAGAGAGACCAGCAATAGGGCGTACACTTGGTATAAGGATATCAGTTTGGGGAGAAGAGTTTTATCAATTGACTATGGAAAAGGAATAATAGCAGGTCGGGAATCCCATCTCAGCCCCCGCAAGAGCAGGGGAATCCCATCCGGCCACGCCTCCTGGCCAGCCAATCGGCTGGCTGGAGGGGGCGTGGCTTGCCCTTTTTAGGGCCGGAGCGGAGGGGGCTCGCCCTCTCCGGCTAGCCCCATCGCCGCTCGCTACATCCTATCGCCGCTCGCTACTGGGCCTGCGCATGCTCGGCGAGCACACGCGGGGCGGCGAGCGAGCGAGCTCCCACATCCGACGGCACCAAGCAGGGGCCCTTGGCCGGTGCCCACCGTGCCCGCCTCCGCCCAGGAGGGCGGCAAGCAGCCACCGCCACCACCACCCCCGCTGCTGCCCGGCAACCGCGCCGCCGCCCCCGGCTCCCCGCAGCGGGTGATCGTGCAGGCTTCGACGGGCGAGCTGCGAGCTCGGCGGGCAGCGCCTCCGTCCGCAGCACCCGCCTCGCGGCTCTCATTCCCTGCCCCTGCCAAAGCTCACTCAGCCAAGCCGTGCTCTCCTTCTAGAGGAGGAAGCAGTAAGAACTATTGCTCTAAGTGTTCAGAGGAGATTAACAGAAAACCTTAAAGGAGAAGAAAAATAGAGAAGATATTTTATAGTATCTACTTCTTGAACAACAATCTACTTCTATTATCAACAATTTACTGTTTGCTAGTCTTATCTCGGCTTGCAACTTCCCACTGTGTCCTTTATAGACGTGTGTGTGTGTGTGTGTGTGTGTGTGTGTGGAGCTAGATTTTCTCCTCAAAAGGACTTTTACAAGAAAACCACTATTTTTCCAATGCATCATGAGTTAACACAGACAGCACAGTCCAATTATACTATGATTTGCCTTTTATGGGGTTTCAAAAGCTTTTGGGAGCAAATTGGGGAGGAGAGGAAAGAAAGGACACAAAGGGGTTATTTATGCCTCTTCTAGAAGTTTGCACAATTTTTTACAAACAAATATGCTAGCATTTCGGTGTCATGGTAATTGCAAAGCTCAACCACAACTTTTGAATATAAACACCAATGATGTTAATGGGTCAAAGGTTTATGGTGTGTTTGCATCCACATGTACATATTGAAAGTCTGAGCAGATAACTAAAAACCTGACTGCAGCAGCAAAATCAACGGTTTCCTTGTGGAAAAACAAATGTTTGTGTTCATTGATGGCACAGTTCTTTCACTATAGCAGTTTCACAAGTGTACAATTTGGGTACAGCATACTTGAGCTGTACACTCATACAGTTATTCACATGGAAAGTTCAATGTGTACACAATCTTGTCTTGCTGTATACACAATAGCTGAACTGTACAAAAACACTCTTTCACACAAACACCTGTACGTGTGCAGAGATAGCTTGTACCTGTGTTCAGTTTAATGTGTAAAACAACAAAACGTTGAAGACTTCTGAAGCCAAATGTTGACTTCAAGCATTCAGACCAGATCTGAACAAGCCAGCAAGCATGTGGTTTATTACTGGAGCGCTTCATTCAAAGCAAACCTAGCTGTTTAGGACTACAACTCCCATCAGTTCCAGCCTGCAGTGCCAAATGGGCAAGGATAATGGGAGATATACTGCAAAAACATCTGGAGAGCACCCACCAGGTTGGGAAAGGCTGGATTAGGTCCTCCCTCCTCTTTTGGAGTGCCTTTGTTATAGAAGCAATTATGCAGACATAAGTAAACAAAAACAAAAAAATGCCACCATACCCACCTTTTAATTGTATACTTGAGGTTGGGCTGAGTGACTGTGCTGTCATCCAGGAAAATAGTGGAACAGGAACTGTATTTCCTTCTCAGTTGACCAGGAGCATGCTGGAAGGCAAACATACAAGAACAGTGGCAGTGACGTTGGACCAAAGGCATTCCTTAGACAGCACAACACTGAGTAAACAGTTCCCCTCTGTCTCTTGTACACACACGTAGGCACACTCAATTCAACAGAGGTCTGGGAATTCTTTTTTTCAGGTCTTGGGTACCTCATGAATCACACAGAAATGAAACTTTGCTAGTGGCTCAATAAAGCGAATGAGGATAATTTGATTCAAACACACACATAACACACAAACACAAACAAATGTTTGCATGGGTTCGTAAGTAGAACGCAACCACCACACTTTCATTTCAAAATACAATGACTAAAGGACTGAGGAAATTAGTTTACTTATTATTTATTTCTTTAAAGGCATTTCTAAACCCCTTATTATTTTTAAATTTTCTAAGCGGTGTACAACAACAACAACAACAACAACAAAGCAACAAACAATATTATTAGAACAAAAACTGTAGTATAAAAGCATATAAACACAAATAAAAGGAGGAATGCAGGGAATTCATGTAAATTATTTTTAAGGGTCTGGTTTTATGGGTCAGGAAAAGCCTGGGCAAAAAGAGAGGTCTTTACAACATGACTGAAGCAACTGATAGTTGCCATTTCACGTGTGTGAGATAAAAAGCCATTCTATATTACAGGGGAAACAGCAGAATGTACCTGCTTTTTGTTGACCACCCTATGATATTCTGCAGGCTGCAGTATCAGGAGTAGAACTTTCGAAATGATCTAAGTGGTCTATACAGGATCAGATTATGTTTCAAGTAACTTGCTCCAGAGTTGTTCAGTTGTTTTGTTAACAACAAAACTGTGAACCTGACCCAGCAGCTCATCAGCAGTAGCTGATCACAAAAATACTCCACACAGCAAACCCAACTGCTGTCCCTCTCCTGAAGAAGGTCCTCCATCAGAGCAATCAAGACCGCTTTTGTCCCAAAACCAGGCCTGAACCCATACTGAAGTGAATCAACATACTGCATATACTCAAGTATAAAGCTGACCTGAATATAAGCCGAGGCACCTAATTGACCTGAATATAAGCCAAGGCACAAAAATTGGGAAAACAAGCTGTGGTTGTGGAAAGCATTGTAAGACAGCAGGCAGAGAAAATGGAACAAGTGGTTTGTGTTTAGAGGATCAAGTTGCATTTGCCAGAAACTGAGAAAAAAGGCACAGCTTGGAAAACAAGAGTGACCTTCCCCAACACCTACTTTCAAGTGGCCTTTAAATTACAAAAGAAAACCACAAAGGAAACGACCAGGAACCAAAGTTCTGACATTATTGCTAGGGGCATTTTGTTGTTTTGTCTTTGCCACAACGCATTTGGAACTCTGGAGATATATTGCTGCTGCTATTTGGCACACAGGTTCACCACTGTGCATCATTTTTGAACTTTCAAAACCCCACCGTTTAGCTCTGTTGTAGCAGCTATTCTACTTTATTTTTTTGTGGGGGAATTGTCTGAACAGCTTTAATCTTCAGCAGAATGCCTCTTATCAAAATCAGAACAGTCTGCAGCCTGAGAGTCACTGATAAAAAGATTTTTAAAATGGACAGGCTCAGAAGTACTTGTAGTTCACTTGGCTGTTTTATCAATTCCTTTATGGCTCACAATTTTTATTCTAATGTTAACAGAATCTGGGGTATTTTAAGTTGTGTGCGGGGGTGGGAATATCAAGGAAAAGCCTTGATATCTCTAGCCAAAGTACTGAAAGCCGAATAACAGATGACACAGTATCAAAAACCAGGTGGGTTGAAAAAAAGGGGTATGAAAGGTTGGAGAGACAAAACAAACAGCAGTTGAGATCAGAGTACTTCAGACTTTAAGCATCATATAAAATAGCACCACAAGGCAAGGAGTCATTTTCAAGTACGTATTATGCTTTATTCAGTGAGGCAACACAGTCCAAAACTGGCTCTGATCCATACAAATCTTGGCCTTTTCCCCACTATGGTTTGGAATTATGTCCAAACCCAAGAGCCTTTGCTTAACCATGAATTACTTGGCCATCCAACCCGGATGCTTGGCAAGATGCAGAGGCACAAGGTAAGAGCAGCTGGAAAATAAAACCACGAGTAGACTAGAAGTAGATGGGGGGACAGTTGGAAAAAACAAACTTTGGAAGAACAAGCCATGGTTTGTTCGCTCATCTGCAAGCAGAGCAGAGTCAAGATATTTCGCCAACTGGTGCAAAGGATAAGATGGTGCCCTTCCTCATTCCATCTAAAGATGCTAACTGGACTGGCAGCTGAATCTTCTTTCAACCCTGGTGGCAGGATAGCATCCTTCATAGCACCTAAAGGCAGTAGGCCAGTTTGGGTGGAGTTAGGACAGGCAATTTAGCATACACAGCTCTTTCATCCCATAGAGGGGAGTGGCTGAGGGCTTAGGGGGAAAAGCCAGAGGGTTGCTGTCACTGCCCCCCAGCATCTGCCAACTTAAGGTGATTACTTTGCCTGATGGCAAGGTCACCCCTATCTGTGACAACTTGCAGTTTGCTGACCGAGCCATGGTTAAACAAACCATGGCTTCTTCACATTATGTGCAGGTACAGCTATTAATTTATATCAGTTATCAGAAAATAGCCCATGTTAACCCTAGATAATGCAATGTCAAACTCATTTTAGTAGAGGGCTAATATCTACTGCAGATTTTTTTAAAGAGAGAAGCCACTGACATATACTGTTTGCTGAAAAGATCTTGTAGCATCTTGGCTCCAGCTAGAAATCCTTAGTTACACTAGCTCAGGAGCATGGGGAAGCCAAATTGTTCTTCAGAATTACTGTCATAAATGACTCAGCTACCTTGATTACATTTAAGTTGCTTCCTTCCTTCAGCAGGTCTGATATTATTTATTTATTCATCCTTTAATGAGCACCACTGCTGGAAAGAAAGAAAGAAAGAAAGAAAGAAAGAAAGAAAGAAAGAAAGAGAGGGAGGGAGGGAGGGAGGGAGGGAGGGAGGGAGGGAGGGAAGGGAAGGAAGATGAGGCTTTATGAATTTTGGCTGAAGTGATATGGAAGTTTAGCAAACAACAACATCAGGGGGTGATTTTCAACAAGAAGGCAGCACCAGGAGCAAAGGGCTAACCTCTCTGCATGCTACAATTCCTAAGCACGCACACACACACACACACAGAGAGAGAGAGAGAGAGAGCAGAAAAAATGAAACTGCAAACACATTAACAAAATTACTTATATCAACATGGGGGTAAGGAAAAGAAAACAGGAGAAGCTGCTCTCAGGTTTTAAAAGTTTTTTTATATGTATTTCTTCCTGGTTCTGCAAAACAGTATATATGAGGAAAGCATATGGACTGTTGTCAAAAGATGAATTTTCACTTGCTGAAGTTTCACCTACATTTATATATTTCGTAAAAGGCCAGATATTAGGTTTAATATTATGTAAGTTTCTAGGAGCTGGGTGGGGGGCACTGGGGAAGGGAGGAAAGAAGAGAAAGAGAGAAAATGCAACACTTACATTCCTATTAAACCCTGATAACAAAGGAGTCTCACCTAATTCTAGGACCACCAGTTAGTAAATGTTTAGTTCTTAGGTACACACCCTTCAGTAAAAATACAAGCACTTCAGTTCCATCATCATCATCTCATCATCATCATCATCATTATTATTAATGTTAATGTTATTATATCCCAACCTTCTTCCCAAAAGGAAGCACAGGACCGTTAACCTTATAAAACAACTCATTAATTTTAAAACACCTGAAACATCAACTAGATCCTCGTCTGTAAAAATAGCAGTAGCAGAAAATACTCCCCTAACACCAATCATACCCAAAGACATGGATAAAAGGTGAGCTTTCAAATTGTGCCTGAACGTAGCCAGAATGGGGAACAAGAAGATTTCTCATGGGAGGGAGTTCCACAGGTGGAGTACTGCCACGAAGAATGCTCTGCCTTGTGTGGCTGTCCTCCTTGCCACCTTCACTAATGGAACCACGATCAGAGGACTTCCCACTGATCACAAAGTCAGGTCGGAAGATACTGAGAAAGGCGCTCCTTCAAATCCTTGGGCGGCAAGTCATTCAGGGCTTTGTACACTAGTATGAACACCTTGAATCAGGTCAAGTAGATACACTGGCAGCCAGTATAGTGTTTTGAGAATTAGGGTGGAGATAATTCCCTCTCACTGACCCCAAAACCAGCCAGGCAGCAGCATTCAGCAGCAGTCACAGCTTCTGGAACTTTTTCAAGGGTAGCCCCACTGACAGCACATTGCAACAGTCTATATAACAGGTTATTGGAACACAGATAACCGATCATGATAGATGACACATGCATATTTAAATTACTGCTTTGCTTGACTACACAGCAAGATGGCAACAGATCAGGTCTCAAGTTGAATGCATTTTGCTGAGAAAAAATGATAATGTACCGTATTTTTCGCTCTATAAGACGCACCAGACCATAAGACGCACCAAGCTTTTGGAGGAGGAAAACAATATTCTGAATTTCAGAAAACAATATTCTGAATCTCAGAAGCCAGAACAGCAAGAGGGATCGCTGCGCAGCGATCCCTCTTGCAGTTCTGGCTTCTGGGATAGCTGTGCAGCCTGTATTCGCTCCATAAGACGCACACACATTTCCCCTTACTTTTTGGGAGGGAAAAAGTGAGTCTTATAGAGCAAAAAATACGGTATATATATATGTATACTATTCACAACTGAGCCTAAAATTCATCTGCAAAACCATTCAGCTCATTTAGCCTCGTCACCCTACTTTTCTGTTCTAATATGTGGCAAGAAGAAGAGATAAGATAAGGGCATCTCCAGTCTAAAACTGCATCCCCAGTCTAAAACGTAATTTTTGCACACTTCCTTGCCATAGGCTTCTGCAACAGATTCCTATAATACAGGAGGTCTCTTTCTGCAGTCTCTAAATAACTTTTGGCACTCCACTGGCTGTACATTTAGACAGCTGATTTGCTTGAAAACAAGACTTTTAGATTTAATAGTGTAAACTCAAAACATGCTATTCAGCCAGAAAAAGTTGCGTTTTTTTCACTTACATGGTTTATAAAGAGACTCTTCCGCTTTTCTCTCACTGTGAAAAGACAAAACACATTGTAGGAATGTTATATGAATTTGTTTGATTTTAGTTAACTCTCCCAACCACAGAATCAATCATTGGAAAATGAAAAAAAACTAAATTCAATGCTAACAAAAAAGGAGTTAGTGAAATGCTTGTGTAAAGTAAAACAATGGTGCTAATGTTATGTTGTACATTGCTTTGAGACGTTTAAACATTAGATGGTTTATAAATGCTTATAACCAAAAAAAAAACCAAAAAACCAAGCACAGCCCATTTAGTTTAATTGGAACTTTGTTATGAATGCTAAGAAAGCTTTTGATGTACTTGAATGGCACCTGCCAATTAAATGTGTTTTTAACAATGTGAAAATGTTAACAGACATGGAGATTTACCCGTTAATAAACATCCTTGCAGATCAATTTCAAATATTTCAATATGCTAAAAAGACAAACCAAAAGTTTTTGATACCAAATTAGACACAAGCTGCCTCCAGAACCTCAAACTACTTCATTCAGGGCTACTTCACTGCACCATTCCCTTTTCTTCCATCTGTATCCTTGCTGCTGTAGATCCAAAAAGTGAGCTGATGCCAATCCAATGAATGGCTGATGCAGGACATATAACCAACATTCTAGAGTCCCCACACCTACAAGAGTTCCACCCCTGCTCCCTACAAGTATTCTTGAACATATCTCATATCATATCATGCTTACCAGATGGTGACCTTAGAACAAAATGCAATAATTATCTGTTTTATTTAGGTGCCAGGGACACCCAGCTGAAAAGATGGTGCATGATGAAAAAACCAGGCATTAAGTCAACACTCTATGAGTATACTCAGAAGTAGGCCAGAATTCAAAGGGACCAGCTTCCAGGTGTAAGGCTGCAAGCCTCAATGAAATTGAATACAATCAAGTCCAGGTTGAAAAGTTCAGCTGACAAGCTCCTGCAACAACCAACAAAAATTGCATTCTATGGTTTCTTAATTTGCTTTATTTTTAAAGCCAAGTGCCCAGTTCTAATTTCTGAAAGTGTAGTTTAACTGTTAAGCTTTTTAGTGCCGTAGGATGAAATTAAGCAGCATTAAAATTAAGGGAGAAAAGGCACTTTTTCCTTATTATTGTGCTTTCCTGTAGTCTTTTGTATAGTGTGTAAGAGACAATTTTAGTGGGAGACTTCAAAAGGACAAAAGGCAATATCCTTGAGTTAATAATTACACATCAATTACAACCTCTCACATTTTGATAGCTTTTAAATAATTTAGTACAGAAATAAAAGCTATGTTTCTTCTAGTTAGGGGAATCGTCTGGTACTGATCTAAGCAAAGGACTACACGAGTTCAAAGAAAAGCTGACTCGGTTTCTCCTCAACTCTTAAAATGAAAAGTGGAATTTTCTTTGGTCTTTTCAAGCTGACAAGTGCATACTGGCAACAAACAAGCACAATCTCACTCAACTCAGGCGAGCAAGCAGGGAGGGGTCTAAATCTAAAGCGGTGCACCCACAGAATGTACTCCAAGGCGAACAACATTGCTCTAGGTCAGGGGTTGGGAAGCTCAGGCCTGGGAGCAAAATGGAGGCCTCTCTATGTGGCCCTCAGGACTGTACACAGGCCACACCTCCTGTACTGGCCACAGCCTTAACTGGCCCTGCTTGAATGGTTTTGTTTTGTTTTTAAGGGCACTTAAGGACTCCATGGTGCCCCCTTCCACAATTGAGTCCTTACCATAATTATCACTATCACTAACTCCTGCAGTGGCTCTTCATCATCATCATCACTGATATGGGCCACTCTAGACATGCCATTTTGTGGTAGAGGAGGACTGCTTTGTTCTACCACTAAGTGGCATAGCTGAAGTGGCCTGCATGTCAAGGAAACGGTCGTTCTAGCCACACCACTCTGTGGCAGACCCGACTATGATGGGTTGCACCAAAATGGCTCCAGGAGGTGAGAAGCAGTGGCAGCGGAGGAGGAGGTAGGTAAAGGGAAACGGGTGGGAGAGGGGTGTATGTACCGTCACCTACTTTTTTTTCCAAATAAAGCACTGACGATGACGAGGAGGAGGTCCAGGGGGTTACTGCCTGTGAGTCCCATGCTGAGTTATGGGACCTAGGCTGTTGCCCTGTTATCGCCCCATTCCTGTTCAGGGTTCCATTTCACTTTTTTTTCCTTTTCCACTGCAACTTTAAAACTTATTCCTGGACCTGCATCATGTTCTTCTTCTGACTCTGCTAATCCCTCGGCTTCAAATGAGAGCACCACATACATCTCAAACTGTTTTGTGCGCAACTAGCAAATTCAAATGCAACCTGAATTTGTTCCTAACACCAGAGCCTACTTGCCAACTGCTCTTCTCTGGCTTCCACAATGCCACCGGTTTTATTTTGGGAATGGAATTTCACATATTTTTGCAGGCATGGCCTAAATTTAGAAATTCTGAGCAGCGTTTCGGGAGCGAGAGGCTGCACGACAATAAAAGATGTTCCAGTTTATTATACAAAGATGCGGGCTGCAATCCAGAGGATCAGAAATGGGCACATATATAGCCATGGTCTCCTCAGAGCAACAGCACAGAACCCAAATGCCTCTGACAAATGTCAGAAAGCACTTGCTTGTGTTCCACCTTTTTAAATAAATAAATAAAAACCCCACAATTAAAAGCACAACAGCTAAGAAATCTAAACACAGCACAACATGATTATAAAAGTGTCCAAAGTTACAAAACAAAGTCAACATAGCAGCAGGAAGCATCATGCAACAACAAAACAGCATAATTAGTAAAATTCCAGCGGCAACAATAAAAATCATAACCACTGTTTATTCAAACCCCCGGCTAATCTGTTTTGACCCAGTGCCTATAATCTGAGTAGGCTATAGGAAAAGTTGCTTCTTTTTTGTTTTGCCTTAGGCCATCTTTCAACAGGTTTTAGGTGCTTGGTATATTTTAGCACTCCCAACTCCTGCAGTACTGGCACTTGGTAAGCCTACATTGGCTTGCAGAGGTCCACACAGAAGACCAGAACCAGCATGCAACTAGGCGTCTGGCTGGCTTTTCACAGCAATTTCAGAGTGTTGCAAAGCACAGGCTGTCTCCCTGCCCCAAGGAAATTTATTCTAAGTGAAAGTTGTTCTTAAAGCTACAACAAAATTGGACAAGGACAATAGTAGGGCTGGGCGATATATAGTTATACCTCCAGTAACGTAACCCTCTGGTTACGTAAACTTCGGGATGCGCGTGCGGCAAACCCAGAAGTATTTTACCGGGCTTCACTGCATGCCCATGCGCAGAAGCAGTTTGCACATGCACAGAAGCGGTCCTCAGGTTGCAGAAACCTCGGGATCCAACCAGACCTCCGGAACGGATCCCGTCCGCAACCGGAGGTACAACTTTATTAATATATCGTCCAAAACCAGTGTGAAGTCCATACCATGATAGCGGTTTCATAATTTTTGATCCGGCAAGATATCATGAATCATGATGTCTGCACTTTGCAAAAATCACCATGTGGGGAAAAACGGTGAAGCCAGCGAATGCTTCTACGTAGCTCCACCCTTATTTCAGACATCACGATCGGTATATTGTGATGTTTAGCTGGTGATATATATCATGATGTTGAAAACCAGATATTGCCTAGACAGTAATATCCTGATCAACTGACATAAAAAACAAACCTAGAAAGGAATCCACTGCCTAGCAATGCTTTCTATTTGATTTAACTCTGCAAGTGCAGGAAAACTACACTTGATTATAATGGTGTTTTATAATTCAGAAGCTGTTCAAGTGGCTTCCCACACTCTGGGCATTAATGTAAGACTGTGGTAGATTGCAAAGAAAACCAGAATTGGAACAATGGTCTGCAAAATAATCCAGTTTACAATCACTGGAATGCAATACTCCCACTGGAACAACAAATTGCAAGACTGCACCAAATGTTCATTTACAAACATTTCAGATGTGTAAAACTTGGAACATAAGAAAAGCCTGCTAGAGCCCATCTAGTCCATCACCCTGTTCTCACAGTGGCCAACCAGATGCCGGTGAGAAACCTACAAGCGGGACCTGAGAACAAGAGCAGTCTACCCTTCTGAGGTTTCCAGAAACTGGAATTCAGAATGATATTGCCTGTGGATTTTTTCAGCTTAGCCCAATATTTTTCTGACCATTCACACTTCTCATGTCTATTTGTATTGGTTATCTCCCAAGTGTTTTGTTGCCAATTCTAGATTTTGTTGCCAATCCTACTTCACTTCACGATTTTAACCAATGAGGACTTGCACACAGAACATTAGAATAACATGGTACCACAAAGTCAGACCGCCTGATGATATATATAGAAGGGAGGCCAACATAAGCAAGTGCAATGCTGTAAATGGGCACTGGAAAGTGAAAGTGAAAGTAAGCTTGTTCCTGTTGCCCCAACTGATCAATATGACATTCTGTGGTTAACCAAACTGTGTAATTTACTTGTCTTGGTATCAGGCAATTGTAATCCTTCTTTCACACTCCATTAAGAGTGGAGGAAATGTAATGGCTTATTTGGCCTTTAGTGAAACTATCCTACAGCCAAATCTGATGTTCTACTTTGCTTCTTCTGATCTGCACCACCCCAGATAAACCACTGAAGGGTGTTGTCATGGTGCAGAAATCATTCCCCCATTGGGATTCATCTCTGTTTCAGCAACCACTGAAGGTTACATAAGTGTTAAAAGGATTTTAGAGATCACACATGGCATACTGAAGGTTGTACAGTGGTACCTCGCAAGACGAATGCCTCGCAAGACGGAAAACTTGCAAGACGAAAGGGTTTTTGGTTTTTTGAGTTGCTTCGCAAGACGATTTTCCCTATGGGCTTGCTTCGCAAGATGGAAACGTCTTGCAAGTTTGTTTCCTTTTTCTTCAAACCGTTAATACAGTTGCGACTTGACTTCGAGGAGCAACTCGTAGCACGTGGTGTGGTAGCCTTTTTTGAGGTTTTTGAAGACTTTGGTATTTTTGAAGCTTTTCCAAAACTTTTCCGAAACCGTGCTTCGCAAGACGAAAAAAAACTGCAAGACGAAAAAACTCGCGGAACGAATTAATTTCGTCTTGCGAGGCACCACTGTATTCCATGTTGGTTCAATTCAGGGTAGACCCACTAAAATTAATGGCCTTGATTCCAATGGGCCTACACTGTGTAGAACACAATTGGATACAATCCTGATTTCCCAATGCTCCTCTTGCATTAAGTATTAAGAAAACACTGCACAGGAAAAAAAATCTCTTTTTGAAAACGTTATCTATATACCTCTGTATCAGCCTTCCCTAACATGGTGCCCTCCATAAGTTTTGAACTCCAACCCCCATCAGCCTCTGCCAGAATGTAGTCCAAAACACATTGGGGACGGCTTTCTTTACCCTCTTGTAGAGCTTACTCCCTGTCTTGATGCAATTGTTTTGTGAATACCTCTAGCAGACACACACCAGCCAATTATAGATGCATTCTGGGAAAACAAAGATGGTGGAAGCTGCAGCAGCCACTGGTAACTTTCTGCTGAGCACTGGGCTGAATGCAGAGAAGGGTGGCAGTGGTCAGCTTGGTCCTTGGCGTTCAGCAACATACATGCAGCAGGCAACTCTATCTTTCTTTCCCTTGGGGGTCCACTAGGTTGGGGGGGCACAGCTTATTTCCCAGAGCCCCCACACCTCAGCACTGGCTTGTGGTATCAGGACATAGCTGTCAACGTTTCCCTTTTTTAAGGGAAATTCCCTTATTCCGAATAGGATTCCACACAAGGAAAAGGGAAAAGTTGACAGCTATGTATCAGGACATGCTATCACAGCAGGGGTAGAGAAAACTTAACAGAGGGTTGACTTTTGTCAAGGATTTCTAGCAAACATTTCAGAGACAAAATGATTGCCATTTATTATACCTGACAGCTTCAGAACAAGGGGGAACTATCATCACCGAGGCCCAGCGCTACAGATTGAATAAGCCAACAGTAAATGAATCTCCCTCCACTGATTGCATCAAGGTTCACTCTAAGGCAAATATTGTTAATTTCCAGGTGCTGTAGAAACCCAGACTAATAAATGATGATGTTCAACTCCACTGATCAATGAGTGCAAGGAGAAAGACTGTTTTATTTTTAAAATGTGCAGCCTGCAAGCAAAATGCTATAAATCAACCACCTCAGCTCTGAGGCCTCTCTAACTGAACTAACTTGTTGAAAAATTATTCCTAAAGTTTTCAATAAGTAACTCTTGCCTGTTCTGTAAAACAAGTCATCATTTACAACATGAGCCTGTGTGGTCCAGTGGAAAATTTGTTCCAAGGTAGCTTCAGGTCCTTGCAAAGCAACAGTGCCTTGAGCAAAAGAACTCTCTCTCAGCCTATTTGGTACAAGAGAGGACCAGTCTTTGTAGATGTACTTGGTCCTCACCGACCTAAATAGATGGGTTCATATAAAGCACAACAACTTAAGAACAAAGTCTTTTCAAAAGGAAGATTCGTATCGAGTTAATATGTGAGAATTCTATGCTACAATACGTCAATTTCAAAACACTTACCTATACAATTGTGTCTGTATAATGGGAAAGATTAATTGTTGATAAACACAAAGGATTTGGGGGGAGGTGGAATCTAAATAAATAATCCAGTAGTCTAAACATAACAATTCACTATGAAATACAGCCCTTATTGAGAATCAATAGCACGTAGGCGCATAAGTGGTCTTGGAAAAAGGATTATGTGTGTATGGGGCCCTCATTTATCAGATTGCATTAAGCCCACTAGCTGATGGAACGCTTTAAAAACAGAGAGTTCAGATTTATGCCTCAAGAGAAGGCAAGATTATTTCTCTCTCACAGATCATTTTGTTAAAGTCCTAAAAAATGAAAATAAGTCAATAAGGCTCTCATGCTAAACATGTTTATGATCCTGAACATGTTTAGGATGAAAGACTTGCATGGTTAATTTCCATTTCTGATGCTGCTGTTAAAACTATCCAAGCCAGTGGCCCAGTCTGAATAGCAGGTCAGCCACAAACCACAGCTTTTTAAATAAAATAAATATAATAGCTAATTATCTATCCAAATTGTTATCAGGTATGGTCTTGCAATAGGGCCATTATAAACTATGCATGAAGTGTATGTTATAAAGTGCACATGAATCTTTTGTTGCTTGTATAATAACACTGGCGACCTACCGTCTGTCTGAGATTTGCTGAGGAAGATTGTGCTGGCCCGTGGGTGATCTGATGGGTTGAACTCCATGTTCAGATCTTGAAAGAAAAGAGAGATAACGTTAAAACAATGCCCCATGTGAGTCCATATTTAAGTAACTTTGGCCTTGAGACCCTACTCCCACAGCCAATTCTTTTGAAAGAGCTGAGTCTATTCAGATATATTTTCAAGCAGGATTCGTAGATGCAAAAATCAGCTGTACTGCAGCATAAACATGTATTGTGCAAATCGTTCCTATAAGGACAGCAACTACTGTCAGATCATTTTCAGATGTGGAACTGACAGCTGGCAAGATCCAACATATGCCCTCCCACTGTTCTGATGCCTAGGACATAATATACCCACTTCACTAATAGGGAGGAATAATATTATTAATCTTTGTTTCACCAAATCCCATAATGAGTGGCTGTTGTTTTTTCCTGGTTAGCCTGAGTTAAGAGATACAGGAACCTAGGAAGCTGCCTTATACTGAGTCAAGACCACCAGGTCCATGTGGCTCTGTATTGTCAACACTGTCTTGAGATGTGGAAGATTGAACACAGGAGCTTTTACATAGAACACAGATATCCTGCCCTGAGCTACAGCCCTTTCCCCAAAATTCTCTTATTTGCATTACCAACTCAAGAGTAATGACCAAAGCAGGATGAGATACATTGGGACTAAAACAACCTGAAAAGCATGGAATTGATTATCGCACATTTTTTTGAGTGTACCTCTACCCACCCGCTGCAGAAGACTTAAACCGCTGTAAGTAATGATGCGGCACTGAGTGACTATTAGCTGAGTGATTGCTAAATGCAATGCGGTTGCTAAAGAAGGGTAACTCCTTCTGAGTTTAAAAATAGGTCAACACATATGTGGGCAAAAAAAGGTGCATTTCCACTTACGTCCACTTCCTATGTATGAGGAACACACACAGGAGAGGAGAAAGAATAAGGGTGGTTTTCAATAGCTCATTTCTAATCTAGTCACACAGCAATCAATGAAGGTTCACACACAGTCAATGAAGGTTCCCCAGCTACCTCCCACCAGCTTAATGGCTGACTTGTAGCTAAGTATTAAGGTAAAGGTAAAGGGACCCCTGACCGTTAGGTCCAGTAACAGATGACTCTAGGGTTGCGGCGCTCATCACACTTTACTGGCCAAGGGAGCCAGCGTACAGCTTCCGGGTCATGTGGCCAGCATGACTAAGCAGCTTCTGGCAAACCAGAGCAGCACACGGAAATGCCATTTATCTTCCCACCGGAGTGGTACCTATTTATCTACTTGCACTTTGACATGCTTTTGAACTGCTAGGTTGGCAGGATCAGGGACTGAGCAACGGGAGCTCACCCCGTTGCGGGGATTCGAACCGCCAACCTTCTGATCGGCAAGCCCTAGGCTCTGTGGTATTAAAGGCGGACCCATTCTGAATACCCCCACTATTATGGTAAGAGTCAAAGCTGTTGAGAATCTCAGTTTACTCCCTCTACAGTAGCAAGCTGTTGAGTTCCGTGTAATCTATGCTGCTTAAAAGGCCTGAACTAGAAATAACGAGGGACACATGGCTGCTGACCCACATCTCCCCAGTAATATATAGTGGAAGAAGGCTTGTGACCCAACATCATCCCACTTAGCATTTCCCTGACCCTTTTCCACTTCACTGGTTGCCATTTGCAAGACATAAGCAAATGCTGAGGTCGTCAACACCACATCACATAATTTATTTTGCCAGCCATGATTTATGGTGGATTCACACAAGCATGCAGAAATAATACCTGCTACTAGTTTGCTCTGGACTGTACCACTTTATACTGCGTAGGGTTTACATGTCTGACTGCTTCTCCATGTAAAAGACTCATTGCATGGGGAGAATGGGATATTATCCCAGTTTTCTCCTTGAGAGGTCCACAAGGAAGAATTGGGAAATGAATTGGAAGTGACAGGGATTTGCCAACTTGGGCAGGAATGAACACCCAATTTACTTGCTGGATGATTCTCTAAATGATACAGGACGTCTTCATACATTATGTTTTCATGAGCGCACCTAAAAGGAGAAGCGTGTGACTTTGGCAAATGAGTGTTTTCAAACACAGGTGTCCCTATGGTCCCCAGGAAGTCAGGACTAGCTGCAGTTCCCTATTGAATGTACACTTAGCAGCAAATGCAGGGCAATGTGAGAAAATGGTCCTCTCATTTGTGCCGTCCATTAGGGTGATCTGCAAACTAACTGGAGAGGAAGGGACCAGTCTGATCTGTTCTTTTGCCTTTCACAGCAGAAGTCAGCCTGGGAATTTTATTTTAAAGCACGGGCATGCACACTATCACCTGATGTTAAAGGTACAGAAAAAGGGATAGATGGGGAAAAGTTGGCAATGCAAGGATGGCAATCATGATGTAAACAGCTGTAAATCACCTTATTATATGGTTTGGGCACACAAATCAAACTGCCAGGCATTTCCTTAAGTTCATGCCAAAGGTCAAAACAGGAGCCATTTATCTTGTTTGGAAAAAGTTGGCATGAGATTGTGCCTATTAAAAATGCACTATACTTTCAGGGAAATGTAGCCAGGCAAACTTTCCAATCAGAGGTCAGTGACCAAAGCAGAAGACTTCCAGGCCACCCAGCATATTGGGTACTCGCTCAGTCCAGTTCTATATATACTCTGATCCTCAAAGGCACTCAGGACAGAACTGCCTCTTGGTGGCTCATTAGTAAATGTGACATATTAGTAAATAAGCTTGTTATGTATTGTTCCAAATTTTCTCAATTCCTCACTTAAGGGACACTAGGATTTAAAAACAGTGACCAGAAAAATAATTATGCAAGTGAGGTGGAATGAAAAAGTGAAAGCCTACTGGCATCATTTTAAAGAAAGGGAGAGAAATTCCTTAAACTCATTAGTGCACAGGAAGGAGACAGCCACAAAAAGAATGAAGGCCAGGTATCCTAGCAACTAGCTGCTTCTGAAGAATTCTCATCACAGCTTCCCTGGGTGTGCAATAGGAAACACTAGTGATTGCTGCCTGGTTTCATCACAAATGTTACAGAAACAAGCTTAAGAAACAAGAATGCACACAGACACTTCGGAGGGAAAGTTCAGACTTATTTTCTGATACTTTCGCATGGGCCAGGCTTGCACTCAACTCCTGTTAACAAACGAAGCACTTTCAAGCAGAAAGCAGGAATGCCACTTCAAGTTTCCATGACCAGGAAAGGGGTAGAGGTTCATCTTCCGGCTCAAAAGCCTGCCCTTTGATATAGTCATGACTCAGGTACAAAGAGCACAATGCATTTTAAGAGCGCTTGCTGAATTTATATTTTTATATACAGTACAGTGGTACCTCTGGTTACATACGCTTCAGGTTACAGACTCCGCTAACCCAAAAATAGTACCTCGGGTTAAGAACTTTGCTTCAGGATGAGAACAGAAATTGTGCTCCAGCAGCGCGGCAGCAGCAGGAGGCCCCGTTAGCTAAAGTGGTGCTTCAGGTTAAGAATAGTTTCAGGTTAAGAACGGACCTCCAGAACGAATTAAGTACTTAACCTGAGGTACAACTGTATTATAACCAGAGATTCAAAGCTACTGCTGAGGAATAATCTAATGTGATCAGACACATGATGTGTTTTTCCTAAATAACTGGAAGAAGAGCAGAAACCGTAACTTGCATTAAATCCCAATGCAAACTATTATATTATTGTTTATCGCTTTCCACGCACATCTCAAGGAGATGTACCAAATGCAATAAAACAGCTAAAAAAACCCCTCAGCCGACAAAGTAACAGCAGCAGATAAATTTAAAAACAACAACAAATTTAAACAATTAAAAATTTAAAAACAACAACACCAAGTGACTACCCAGGGCAAAAACCTATTCATCTAACTTGGAAGGGTTATTGAGACCAAAAAAGATCTTCAATTGTTTAGGGAAAGTGCAGATAATGGGTGCCTGCTGTATCTCAACAGGAATACTCTTCCACAAAACAAGGGCAGCCATGCTAGAGGCTATGCTCTGAGTTACTGTAGAGAGAGCTCCTGAGATCTTTGGAACCTGCACCTTAGCAGTGTTTCCCAACCTTGTGCCTCCAGATGTTTTTGGCCTACAACTCCCATCATCCCTGACTAGCAAGACCAGTGGCAAGGGATGATGGGAATTGTAGGCCAAAAACAGCTGGAGGCACAAGGTTGGGAAACACTGCCTTAGAGCAGTGTTTCTCCAGCTGTTGTTGGACTACAACTCCCATCATCTCTAGCTAGCAGGATGATGGAGGTTGTAGTCTGTCAACAGCTGGAGACCCCAGTTTGAGAAACAGTGCCCTAGAAGATCTGTAGGAATGGAGGCGATTTTTCCAATATTTGGGGACTAAGTATTTGGGGCTTTAAAGATCCAACAACTCCCTGGCTCAACTCAGCTACCTACAGCTCACCCTGACATTATAAGCAAACTCTGACCTGCACCTATCGCCCTAATTTGGTTATCAAGCAGGGATTCAGTCAGTTCATCGCTACCTGTCTGTGGTCATGCAGAAGTCGTCGCAGGAGGATGAAAGACTTCCTTGCTGGTGTGGTTGACCACCAACAGCCCAGAGCAGGTAAGGTAATATCCCCCAATTGCAAATCAGAGGTTTTCTTCCAGACTATAATTCCCATCATCCCTAACCATTGGCCACAATGGCTGGGGCTGATGGGACTTGGAGTCTAACAACATCTGGAGGGCCAAAGATTACTCATCAATGCTACAAAGTACTTCTAGAAAGTATTGCTCACTAGTCCCAGCAACTAGTAGATTCTTTACTACAGACTTTGCCCTTTCCTCAACTTGGTATGCCATGTGCACATGACAGCATTCTGTACCCAAGAACGAATCCATGCCACTTTTCTGGAAGTGATTTTTAAATTCTATTTTTGTACGGTTCTTGTTCCAGCACATATTCTCAAATTGTCTCCCTAGATTTCTACAGCCTAAACAAATACCAGCTGGAGTTATATAATCCTTTGCTCACTCTTCTCAGCAGCAATCAAAATTCTATTCTTGCAGACAGCCTATGCATGCCTCT